AGAAAGAAAGAAAGAAAGAAAGAAAGAAAGAAAGAAAGAAAGAAAGATTGCCAGCTGCGATAGGAAAACATCTTGCAACACCCAACGAAGCTTTGGGCGACCAACTTCTTCACTTGCCGACTTGGCAACTGGGGAGACGAGGGCGGGTGGAACCGAAAAGGGGCAGGCGGAGGATGCACGCCTGTGTGGTGGGTGGTTTAGGGGAGGAAAAAAGAGAGAGAAAAGACCTTTGCCGAAGCACACCGGGAGGGGAGAAAGAAAATACACCCACGCGGCTCTTCCTGCAAAGGCTCCGTATCCCAACAGCTACAGGGAAAGGAAGGGTCGAGCAGATGGAATGGATGAGCAAAGTGAATGCGGACGAGCAAAGGCACCACAAGGAAAATATATATATATATATGTGTGTGTGTGTGTGTGTGTGTATTAAAATGCGTTTTATTTTAGTCACTCCCGAGATTCCCAGGATCTCCCAAAGAGAGCCATCTTATCCGCTCTCCAGGGAGTTGCCTTGGATCCACAGGTCTGGTGGTGCAGACTCGGGAGACCTCTATCCGATAGGGGTAGTTGTCATTTCTGCATGCAGCTCCCTGGTTCTTCTTTGGTTAAGAATTACACGAGGAAAAGGAAGAAAAGGGTGGTGTTGAGGGAAGGCAGCGTGGTTTTAAGCTCTCTTTTTTAAAGTCGAAAGTGGAGCCTCGTGGGCATAGCGGGTGGGAGATGCTCGGAGTAATTCAGGTGGTGTGGAGAATAGGCAGAGGTGGAGAAGCACCGCCTAAGTCAGTCAGGTGCCAGAAACAATCTGTTGGTAAATTTGTGCCCCTGGGGTGCCTTGGCGATAGATCTCGCACAGACGTCTCCTATCACAGGGGAGAGTATAAGAAGTGATAAGTACTTGGATATATGGGAAGTGTTTATGAAAAGGCAGAGCATGGATCACTGCAGGAAAAGGAGTTTGCTGATTAAATAATCGCGTGTCTTCCACGTGCTCGTAGAAAGATGAGAGTTAAAGGCTAGCTTGTTGTTTTTGTGAATTGCAAGAATGGCGCTATCTTTAATTGGGTCTGAGTCTTCCAAATTCTTTGGAGGCGGTGGCGGGGGTCTCTTCCCTACTTGAGGTGTGCAATGCAAACATGAGCGCGTACATACAGTTTTGCCTTTAATTTTGTACACACACACACACACACACACACACACACACAAGGATCCGGGCGAGCGACACTTTGGAAAACCATTAATTAAGAAAACCAGCGTCGATTGGCGGGGAGATTTATGGCTGCTTTGGAGGGGTGAATCTATCTATAAATGTAGAGAGAGCAGGACAGGCTCCCTCTTTCATTGAAACGTGTGAATTGAGAAAGTTGCGCGGTTCTTTCCTGCTCTGTCATTTTCGGGTTGAAACCGTTTCCTTCCTCGCTGAGGCTTTGCAAAAAGCCGGGTTTGGGGATTCCCACGCTTGGAGCTTCAGACCAAGAGATTCAGAGGTGAGACTTCCGTGGCTGGACTGAGTGGTGTTTTGGGGCAGGGTGCGTGGCTGGTTGGACCCAACGGCTTCGCAGGACGCCCGTCTCCGAGAGTCAGCGGCTAAAACTAGCTTAGCAAGGGCTTAAACTTGACCCAGGCAGCTGGAAGTTACCTTATTTTTCCCGTTTACTTGGGAACAACTGCACCGAGCCTCGCGGTTTGTATTTCTAGGTAAATGTACCTGAAGCGGAAGATAAAGCGAAAATATAATCACTCCGATTACATTTGATTGCATTTATTTATGTAAAGTCGGGCCACAGAAGCAGCCTTGGGAAACTCGCAAGTGTTTTGATTGGCTTCCCCGGGTTTTTCCTCTGCCAAACGCGGTTGACATCGGAGTGCACTCTTACGTGCCCCCTCCACCCTTAATTTTTCTGCCAGGTGCCAGATTCTTCTTTATTAAAACAAAAAACCAAACCAAACCCACAGATGAGTGAGTCTTTAATTTGGTTGCCGGAGCTTTCGGCTGCCGCTCAGCGCCCCTTTTTGCTGGGAGGGAACCTGGAGAGCAGCATCGGAAGGCGGCGGGGGAGCGAAAGCAGCTCGCGACCCGCGCAGGGTTGGGTTTTTCTTTCATGCCTCTGGTGAGGTGTGCTTCAGGAGTTGTGCCGAGGCCTGCTTGCTCGGCGGCAAAATGCCTGTTGTTATGATAAGCTGGCAGGAAAAGTGGAAAGAGGCCTGTCATTTCTCCGGATTCGCTGGCTGGGAGCTGCCCAGCCAGTTGGACGGGTTGGGCCCAGCTTGGAAGCCCGAGCTTGTCAGGACCAGTAAAGCGGCAGTCGCCTCCCTTTCTTTCTCTCTCTCTCTCTCCCCCCCCTTCCTTCCTTCCTTCCCTTCCTCCCTCCCCCCACTCTCTTCGCCACCCTCTTCCCCGATCTTCAGTCCCAAAGGGGGAAGGCGCCTCTGGGCTCCCAGGAGGCGGAGAAGGAGCTCCAGAGCCCCGATTCCCTGGGGGTGGGGGAACTGAACGCCTGGGGAGACGGGATCCCACGCGCCTTAGGAGGGAGGGAACAGCCCGGCTCTTCTGCTCGGGGATCCGGCCTAGGCCCGCAGCGCCAGCGCCGCCTCCTCCTCCTCCTCCTCCGGGCCCTGGAGCCATGGACCTGACGCAGCAGCAGCAACAGCAGGACGCCGCCGGAGCGGAACTGCCGGGCCCGCCTGAACACAGACAGCTGAAAGCCGGGGACAGCAAGCCGGAGCCAGAAAGCGGCACCTCTGGGGTCAAGAGGGGAGCAGGAGCCCGGCAGTTGCTAGCCCTGGCCTTTGAGGAGCCTGACTTCACCCAGGCGCCGCTCCCGCCGCCGCCGCCGCCGCCCGAGGTGCGCCTCCCTTGCCTCGCGCGTGGCTTCTCCACGGCTGGGCTTCCCCTCTTTTGCCGAGGAACCCCTACTGGCTTCTCTCTCCCATTCGCCCTTCTTTCCCACTCTGCTTCGGCAAGTTTTTCAGCTTGGTCTCTTTTCCAATTTCCTTCTCCTCGTTCTGCTTTCGGGCGCTCCTTCCTTCCTTCCTTCCTTCCTTCCTTCCTTCCCCTTTCCCATCCCTCCTCCTCCCCCCCCCGTCCTCTCCAGATTCTTTTCCCACCCATTCCCCTCTGCACCTTCTCCCGCACTCCTCTTACTCTGCCTGCCTTGGCTTGCCTTGCACCCACCCGTTTGCTCTCCCTGGCTCTCTTTCTCTTTCACTTCTGCCAGCCCTGCAACCTTTTAAAATGTTGCCCCTTTCCTGTGATTCGTCAGACGCAGCAACGGCATGACTCTCTCTTCTCCCCCCACCCCCGTCCCCTTTTTGTCTCTCTCTCTCTCTCTCTTTCTCGCTCCCCCCCTCCTCTCCACTTCTGATTAGATACACTGATTCTTCATTCAATGGACGTCATTTAGAACAGCCTCTGCCTTGAGTTGCTTCCTCGCTTCACGCTCGATTTCCAGCCATTCTTCCCTTATTAAGTATTCGTGTAGTATTAATTGTCATGAATATCTGCTATTAGGAGTCTTAAAGGAAAGCAGGCTTGCAAATTCCCCTCCCTCCCTCCCTCTTTCTCATTTAGGAACTCACGTGCAGCAGCAAAAGGAGGGAGGGAGAGAGAGAGAAAGAGAGAGAGAGAGAGTGCGCAAGCGAGGTGGGGACCAACGCGCACACACGCACACCACCCGCAAACGGATTAAGGAACACAGGCGCGCGCGCGCGCGCGAGCGCGCGCACCCCCGCTCAACTTTGAATCGTGAACTCTCACGCCAAGGATCCGGCTTCTCGCCTTCGCTGCTGCAGAAACGTCGGGCATTCGGTTGTGGACTGATGGATTATAGGCGCGCTTGCCCAGTGCTGGCGGACAAGTCTGGGCGTTGGGGACTCGGGGTGGTCTAGACCCGGGCTCCTTCCATTGTGTGTGTGTGTGTGTGTGAGAGAGAGAGAGAGAGAGAGAGCTTGTGTGCAAGAGGGAGAAAGAGGGACAGAGCAAGAGTACAACTAGGAAACGGGCAAGCGACCTAGCGAGACCTAAAGAGCCCACTTTTTCTCTGCCTTTTTGTTTTTCCTGCCCTGACTTGGTTCCCCCGAATCCGCGCAGATGTTAGTTCACAGTTTCTCAGCGATGGTGAGTGTGCTTCAGACTTCTCTATCTGGGATGGGTGGTGGGAACCTCGTCACCATCATGCTTTTTTCCCCCCTCATCTTCTGGGGAGGGGGGAGGGTTGTTGGTGGTGGGGAGGCGGATAGCCGGCTGGCCGGGTGTCACCTCCCGCCGAAACCTCCCCTCTCTCCGTGTCTCCCCCCCCCTCTCTTGCTCGTTTGCAAAAGCTTCCCGGCTCCCCTTACTTTGGCTGCTACAAGTAAACTACAAAAGGCTAGCCATGCTTCCACACCCGTCCATTGTGTTTTGTTTTGCTTTGCGTTTCCCCTCCCCTTCCGATTGGGTTTCACCTCTTCTTTCCGTTCTTGTCCTTTCCCGGGTTAATAACGCTCCCCGGGAGATTAAAGTCCAAGGCATTTAACAGCCACCTTTTTATTATTATTTCCCTCTACCTCCCCCCCTCCCCCGACTTCTCTTTGGATGGCTGTTAATTTCCTTGAGATGTACCTGCGGGCTATCATTTCACAATTTACCAAGTCCCGGTTGTACAAAAGCAAAACCTCTCTGGACATTTCCCTCCTCTTCGGCTTCATCTTTATGTTTCCAAATCGTTTCTCTTTAATTTTGCTGCCTTGTTATTTACATAAAATACGATTTGCATGTACACGTATATGGATGTGTGTCTGTCTGAGTGTGCAATTTACACGCGCACATACCTACGAGGCTGGGTGTCCCGTATTATATGATGATTTGATTCCAATCCATGGAATAGCACCATTGGTTTATCCATTTTGATCCCACGCTAGATTTGTAAATGGCTGGCTTACGGCACACTTATATTTAAGTATTTTTTTCTCCCCCAAACGCTGTTCTTTTTCATGGCGTTTTGGGTGTCATTTTCCAGGAGAAAAGAAGGACGAATGAAGCAATGATGCACTTTCACTTTTTTCGAACAAGGAAAAGAGCATTTGTTTGCTCTTTCACTTTTCTTTTTCTTTTTTCTTTTTTGACAACGATGCCCGTAGGCTTTTTAAAAACAAAGGTTGCGCACGCCCACAATAAGAGCAGAATACACACCATTCCTCTCGAAAGGAAAATCTTCTGGATCTGCTCCGAGTAGGAGAATTTTGTCCGTTTTCTTTTCCCCCCCCCCACTGGGAGTTTTGCCTTTCCCACCCCCCCTCCCCTCCAGTTTGTTAACTTGTAATTCATGCAGCTCCATTTAGACGAGATTGTTCTCTGCCCAGACGGGAATATCTCGAAGGCTGCGTTTGATTCTAGTCTGAGCGCAAATATTGTAGCTCATATTTTTTTTTAATAGGGTGATAAACATTTGGCCTAATCCTGTTTAATTTAAACTTTCTCTTCCTCCTCTCTCTCTCTCTCTCTTCTCTGGTCTCCCCCGTTCCCTTTTTCGTGTTCTTATTCATCAGGACCGCCACGACGCTACCAGCAACGGGACAGCCCGGCTACCCCAGCTGGGGAGTGTGGGCCAGTCCCCCTACACCAGCGCACCTCCGCTCTCCCATACACCGAACGCCGACTTCCAGCCCCCTTATTTCCCACCTCCATATCAGCCCATTTACCCGCAGTCTCAAGACCCGTATTCTCACGTTAACGATCCGTATAGCTTGAACCCACTTCACGCCCAGCCTCAGCCGCAGCACCCGGGCTGGCCGGGACAGAGGCAAAACCAGGACACGGGGCTTTTGCATACGCACCGCGGACTTCCACACCAGCTCTCCGGCTTGGATCCCCGAAGGGATTACCGGCGGCACGAAGATCTCTTGCACGGACCTCACGGCTTGAGCTCAGGACTAGGCGATATTCCCATTCACTCGATACCTCACTCGCTGGAAGACGTGCCGGTAAGGAGACCCGTGAGGCGGGGAGGCAGGCGGCTTCCTGTCGGCTCTTTCCCTCCCCCCCTCGTCCTCCCCCTGCCACGCTTCTTCTCCTTCTTCTCCTCCCCCCACCAGGGGATGGGAATTACAGTGTGCATTTCAAGCCTCCAGCACACCCTCCACGAAGGCAAGAAGCGGTGGTGTCTCGCGGTTGGCAACCGGAGTTGAATTGTCTCCCGCCAATGTCTTCAGTTGCTAATGCAGAAAAATAGCTCTTTGCTTTTGTTGGTGGGGAGTGGAGGAAGGAAGGAAGGAGAGAGAGAGAGGAGGGAGAGAGAGAAGGAGCTGGCAAGATCAGAATACCCCTGACTGGCTGCCTTGTTGGTGACAAAGCGAGGTAACTCTTTGGAAAGGCTCTTAGAAAGCCTGGCCTTCAGTCGGATTTTGGCTGGCTTGAAAAAGAAAACAAAAAATGACCCAAAGCTTTCTTCCCACTTCGAACCTGCTTGTTTGGACGATGGGGAGGAGGAGGAGGAAGAAAAGAATCTCTGTGAATTGCAATTCTTCGGATTGCAAACATGGCGTAAGAAATCTAGGCCCATCACCCCCCACACGGAGAAAGAGAACAATGTGCTGCGGTTGCTATTGTGGCTGTTATTATTTTAACTAAGGTTTTGGAGGGCCTTAAATGTTTTTTTTTAAATTATTATTCGGGTCAGGGTCTGGTTTCTCTTATCCACAAATATAATTTGGGTGTGGGGGGAATGGTGCCTCTCCTCCCATCTTTCAACAGCCTAGAGCCCTTTCTAGCCAGGGGCAAGCACCATCTGAGTCTGGCTGGAAAAGAAGGTCACTTCTCCAAAAAAAAAACCCAAAATACAAAAAAACCTCTCCTACTGAATGCAGAATTTATACAAGCCAGTAATTTTACTCCTGCTTCTTGTGCTGGTTACATTGGACAGAAAACATTTGTGGGAAAGGAGAAAGGAAGCTTCTAATATTAGCCTAGGGTTTGTTTTGGTTCCTCTTACTAAAATGTCACCGCAGATTACTGAATCCAATATTATCATAATACTGACAGTTTAATGATTTCCAATTGCACGTTGCAAGGATAATTTTGCCACGGGTTCCTTTCAGAAAGCGATTTCCCCACCTCCTTTATTCCATTCCCTTTTATTAATCCATATTTGAAGGAAACGGAGGAATTCATTACAGCTCCAACTCTCTTTTTCCCCCAAGAAAACTGCGCTTAGGTTTTGGTTTGCAAAAAAAAAAAAAAAAGCCATGCCTTACTTAAAGTATCCATGTCTCTGTGGGAATTGGGCACTTAAAAAAAAAGCCACACCAACCAGTTTTCTTTTAATTAAAAACAACCCCCAAACAACAACAAGAATACCTGGTTTGGAACTAGGGTTGTTTAGGCAAAAAAAACCCAGTTTGAATCATCACTTAACTAAAAACAGTTGCACCGAAATCAGGGGGAACTTCCACTGGTGTTTTGTTTTAGGTATCAAGTTGCAAACGATTTGATTTTGTTGGGATTTCGGTTGCGTTGAGAATTGTATGTGCATTTTCTTTTTGAATAATAAACATAGGTTATTTTTTTACTATCCCAGCAGTTAATAGATGTCTGGCCCATTTTAAGAAAGGCCGTTGCCAAGTAGTTTTAGATAAAAACATGTAACAGGAACACCTCCCTCTTTATTTGGGGTCGATTATTCCCAAAGCTGGTAAATCTGATCCGTTTAAAAGGGAAGGGCATTGATCTTAGGAGAGAGGCGGGCGGCGTCACGTTAGGATGCATGCTTTGCTTTGACAATGGAATAGAGAGCGGCCTTGCAAAGGCATCACGGAGCGAATGAAGTTCCTCGAAAATTTTCATGATAGGAACGGCTATTTTCATTTTTTTCTCCTGCTACCGCAGTTAGCCATTGATACAAGGACAGCCGCTTGATACGGAATACTTGCTTAAGCTGAGAACGAGAATTATTTTTAAAACTAAGTATCTGGGTGGGATTTTAAAAACCTGACAGCCGGTGGCTTCCGCGGATTCTGTCTAGGTGAAGAAATCAGACAAATTAAAAACGTTACCCCCCCCCCACATTTTTTAAATAAAATAGGTTGAAGGCTGTTTGCTTGAAGGGATATTTCTCTACATCGTTTAAAAAAGAAAATCCGAGAGAACGGCAGCCATAGTCATTTCTGCACATTTCTCAATTTAATTATGCTCAAATCCAGAAGCACTTTAGGCAAGTTACAAATGAGAGCATTGAGTACAATAAAACCTGTAATAAAGCAACTTCGTACCATCCACCCGGAATCATTGAGATCAGGCACAATTAACAGGAGCATAAATCCAAGGCAGAATGGAAAAATGATAGACTCGGTATTATTGTTGGACGGAGACTTGGTGAAGGAGAAGAGGAGGGTGGTTTCTTGGGGAGGGGAGAGGAGGGAGGGGTGGGTGGGGGACTCCGTAGGAGCCTATGGGGGACGCGCGCGGGCGCGCACCTGCGCTAAATAGTAGCGCTGAAGTTCGGCAGCGCGAGAGAAAATTCTCCCGCTTAAGCAGCGTTAGTGCTACTTTGTAAACACAGGCAGACACATTAGATTGACTGTCAGTTTGGGAATTGGAAAACACGCTTTTCATTTTACTTTCTAATCACGTCTGAAAGCTCCCGCGTGCCCGGAGCATCAAGCTTTCCGAGCAGAATTTAAAAGCAGCGGCAAACGCTGCCTGGAACTAGAGGGGAGCCAGAATTGCCACGGCCTTCAGGAGCTCGCAGGGATAGCCTCCCTTCTCCTATCCCAATTTTCCGGATATTCCCTCCCCCCGCCTTTCTGTATGCATAGGTGGCACAAACACATTCTTCTAGAATCTTATTACAGTGTTAACCTCAATTTTAAAAGCACAAAGAGCCGGGAAGGCTTTCCCTTAAAATGCTTATTTCAGAGGGAGAGGCACTGTGATAGAAATTCAGTTTAAGCCCATGTGTGTTAAGAAGCACGGTGAGATTTATGCACAATTTACGCACATGTAATCAGGAGTTGCCCTTAATGCAGGAAGCCTGAATTATAACCACGTTTAGGCATTCTTAACTGAAGGTAATTGCTATTGAAACCAGCGGCCCCTACTTCTGAGCAGATGCCACTAAAGGTCCCCAAACCTAGCCGTTTCTGCTTTCCAAAGATCGTGTGCAATTGGAACCCAATATTCGCTTTTTAAATTAAAAAACGTCAACATGGGGAAATGAATATTATTCTATTTTTTTAAAACACCAAACTAGTTATAAGACGCAGGGAAATAAAGAGCTTGGCGGGTTTCTCTTGGTGTGTTTAGAAATTCATACCCCTTTTGTATTGCTTTTGTTGCAGCACGTAGAGGACCCCGGTATTAACATCCCAGATCAAACTGTAATTAAGAAAGGTAAGCCACTTCTTTAGCATTCCAAGCATGTCCTCACAAGCTTGATACCGAAGCAGCCGAGAGAACTTACGAAAGCGATTGTTTTCTCCCCCTGCCCTCTCCTCGTAATTTACAACAGAGCTGAAAATGGAAAACGAAATTGACAATCTCGGTTGATAACCCCTTTACTTAATCGCACCCTCTGTATATGTATGATTATATTATCGAGCTAAACAGATCCATGTTTTAGCAGTTCCTAATGACATTGTGGTTCAGAACTGACTTCTAATTTCTTCAGTTGCCTTGAAAGTATGTTTCATTACCTAAGAAAGAGCCAATCCTGTTCAGCCGCCCCCCTCAGCCCTCTTCCTCACCCACCCACCCCCAGGCTTCAGGTTGAGGAGATTGTTCTGGATTGTTTACATCTGAGGGCTTTGTTGTAACAAGCGAGCAGGATGGCGGAAGGGTAGTCGCTTGCTTAGCCTGCTCTCTGCAACGGGGGCTGTGTGGTTTGGCTTTTCCTATGGTTTCAGTTGCTGCTTCCTCCTAATGTCTTGTTGCACTTGTGTTTTTTTTTTGTTTGTTTTTGGTCTGGAAGAAAGCGTCCTCCCGTCTCCCAAACCTTGTCTGGCTTCAGAATTTCGTTGTTGTTGTTGAAAGTATTCGGGATGTTGGCAGCAGAGCAAAACGGTTGGCTTTAATTTTAATCCGTGTTCAGGGAAATGCCGGATTCTGACCAGTTGGTATGAAAGATTTGAGAAAGGATCAATGCGGCTTTCTTACATAGTAGCAGGGTCTTGTGCTCTCCAAAACAATACTTCCTTGAAAATCTCAGCATTACACAATGAAAGCTAAAAAATTTACCCCTCCTCCCTGTCTGGAGAGTCTTTGTCACGTCAAATTAGATGTGCAAGGAATAAATCTTAAAGTGATGCTCTTTCCAAGTCGACATGATAATTGGCTCTTTTATTAGTAATCTCAAGAGTTCGTTTAACTCCTATTGTCTCTATTAGCCTCCCCAGAGCTATTAATGTCACAAGTGATCTATCCAAAACCTAGATATCCCTCCTCCACGCTCCACCCTTTAACATTTGGATTAGACCTATTAAAGTGAAAATGGAAAGTATAGGAGTGTAGGATGAAGGACAAGAGGAATAAACAGATGCTGATAAGAGTAAATATTTATAGTGCTGGAACATAATTCCAGGTCCATTTTCCTCCAAACAAGACTGCCCTTATTTTTCAATGATGCTAGCCAAACTAAACATGGAATTTTGGTAGGTTTGGGAGAATTTTACCCTTCTCCTGCATATTATAATAATGCCCTGGAACTTTCTGTCATCATTAGGGGAAAAATGAAAGTTATGTCAAGGAAGTTTCTTTTCTTTTTGGGAAGTAAATGGTAGTAAGGAGGCAGACCAAAAAATGCATCCATTTTCCTTTATTTTGTTTGGGGGTAATTGTTAAAGAAACTTGTACTACCTTTGAGAACAGTAATGAAAATACCTCTTTGGCGCCTCTTTCCAATATACAAAGTTGCAATTGCAGAAAACGTGACATCTAATCCAATTACTTTGAAACTATTCAATTGGAAGTACTAAGGGCTATTCTAGTACAAATTAAGCCCATAGCCGTGTAGCTTGTAGCATTACATCCCACCCCCCAAAACAAGGGAAAGGTATATTGTGTGGCCATCCTTTATATTAAATATTGGTAACAGGGAATACGTCTCCTTCCGGTAACCCTTTCGGTATCTTTAAGATTACAGGCGAACTGTTGTTCCTAGAATAATTTAGGACAGACGAGGTAATTTTAACTCCACCTCTTCTTCCCTTAATTTTGATCCAATCCTGATTTAGACTGGGCCTTCAAGGGGGGGGGGGGCTGGGAAGTAGCCAGTCCAGACGTTGAAACTCGTTGTGTGCACTTCTGCCTGAAAAGGTTCACTTAGTTTTTAAATTAAGAGCTAAATTTTTAAGCAAGGGCTCAGAGCCCCCCCCCCACGAGCTTTCCCTTTCTCCCTCAGACAACTGAGAATTTAAAATTGAGGTTCTCTTCGAAGGTCATCCTCTAGGTCAGGGGTCTCCAACCTTGGCCCCTTTTAAGCTTTGCTGGCTGGGCAATTCTGGAAGTTGGAGACCCCTGATGTAGGGGCCAAGGGATGTAGTCCCCTGCCCAAGTTGCTGCGGAAGGAAATTGGCCTATTCCAACCCCCCCCCCCCTTGTAAGCGTCTTTCCAAGTTTCCTCATCCGAAGTCGAGGCTGCGGGAGGGTGGGCGATGGGTAGAGGTCGCGAGAGGGAGGTCCGGGGGAGGGTGCTGGCCAGCTTCGGTTGTTGGCCTTCCAAGCGAAAAAGGCGGAGGAAGAGGAGGAGGAAGAAACCAAAATGGAGGAAGGGGCCGCCAGCCTCGGGGCTACTACCCCTTATTCAAAAAGCTTTCCTTCCCCCTCCCCGAGCCGTCATTCCCGTTGTGGCCCATCTGCCATCATCTCTCAGCCACCTTTCCTGGCTTGTTTTCATCCCCTTCCCCCACTCCTGTCATCGCCCACGCCTCCCCCCCCCCCCCCACGTCCCCCAAGCCTGCCGCCCCACCATCGCCTCAGGCTCCTTAGCAGCTGCTAATCCCTTCAGCGTTTGTGCACTAACGCGGCTCTGCCTTCCCTCGGCCTCCCTTCTCCCCTCCCCTCCCTCCGTCCCTCCCTCTGCAGGCCCCGTGTCCCTCTCCAAGTCTAACGCCAACGCCGTCTCCTCCATCCCCATCAACAAGGACGCGCTCTTCGGCGGCGTGGTGAATCCCAACGAGGTCTTCTGCTCGGTGCCCGGCCGCCTGTCGTTGCTCAGCTCCACCTCCAAATACAAAGTCACCGTGGCGGAAGTGCAGAGGCGCCTGTCCCCGCCGGAGTGCCTCAACGCGTCTCTGCTGGGCGGAGTGCTACGGAGGTGAGGCGGCCCGACCGAAACTGGCCTTCTTCTTCTTCTCCTCAGGCGCGCGGCAGACAAACTGAGGAGGGGAAAAGGCAGCCGCGGATTCGGTGCGAGGGGCAATGTGGCGGGAAGGGAGCCCATTGGCAGAGAGGGGTGGGCACGTGGTTGCCGTGTTCGGCCTCAGCCAATCCTCTCTTTCCCCAAAGGCTCCAGCTCCCACCTCTCTTCCTCCCGTCTATTGTTTTTAATTTCTCACAGTAGATACACTACCCCACACTTTAACCCCCACACCTCGCCCCTTCACACATCTTCATTTTTTCCCCCCTCCAAAGCTGCTTTTCTCCGCCCCCTCCTTTTTTTTTTAACAGAAGGCAGCTGCTGTTACTAGCAGGATACCAGCCTTTCTTCCCAATATCCCCAAATGTCACTTTGTCAATTAACTGCTGCAACATTCTGGGCTTCCTCAGACATTGCTGGTTTTAAGTTCTGCTTCACATTTCTTTCTTTTTTTTAAACCACATTTGTTTTTGCCCTTCATGGTGCTTCTCGTGGCTCATTTATGTTTTTTTTTTTTCACTGTAAGGGTTAATAATTTTTGAAAAAGTACTTTTGAGAGTATTCTTGTGTTAAGTGTTTTCTCATAATTCCCTCGCATTAATTTCCTCATTAACCATTTCCCCTTCTTTAAAAGTTTGGCGGAGTTAATGAGAATATACCTCAAAGATCCATGTTTTGAAATCGGAGCCACACTCCTTCCACATTTTCCTCTAAAAATGACTCTAGGTCTAGGATCTTTGGTTTTACTATTCCCTTCAAGTCTCTAAATCTTGCATTTGAGTTTCGGGTCTTTTTTTTTTTTTCAGAGTAGACAATATAAGAGAAACTACCTACATCTCAATAATAAATCTGCACCTGAAACAAAATGACAGCAAAATGACCAGCCATTTCAAAAGATTGTGATTTAAAATATTACCAAGTATGAATTGCAATATATTTATTGAAAACGCAGAGACAGTTAAAATAATTAGTATTTAGAGTTTTCATTGCTGTCATTATCTGTAAGCTGGACCATATTATAGCACAGCATCATGTATCTATGGAAATTAGGCTGCATTCAGTTATAAGCAGGCAGCATGTCCTGTTAATGAGACCCACTCATATACAGTCAACATCAGCAATCACAGGAAGGCCCCTTTAGTGTAGCAAGGTCACTCATCTTAGCATAGCATGTTGAAAGCTCATACACACCAGCTGAGGGCACTGCCAGCATTACTTTCCTGAGGAAGGCCAGTGCAAGAGGGGAATTTGGCTAGGAATACATTTATGAGAAAATCATAAAAAAAATTCTCATACTAGTGTGCAAGATAAGCGATATCTTTCCTGTTTAATCTGTGTACCAGATTGAATGTAGTACTGTATCTATAATGAAAGGCAAATGATGATTGTAAATCTTACATAATGCAAGGAAATCTGGCTGAAACACATCTCCCATTGGTTCACAACTATGCAAAAACCTCACAGCTACATTTTTGATCACAATATATAAACATATTTTACAACGTTGTGAGTTTAATTGGTGTCCATATATGATTTGCAGCTGATATTGTAAGAATACAAAAGATTTAATTGTCTGTTTAACATGCAGTTATTTTAGTGAATTATATATTTCAGTGAATCTTGTGCATAACTCTCATTCTAGCACCCAAATTTAATTTTTTCCTAAACTTATTAAATTTTAATAAGCATAATATATACATTTGTGGAAAATATCTGAATAAGTTGCACCATGAACCTGAAGGTACTTGTGTGTTAAGTGCTGTTTTTTAATGGAACAGGGCAAAGTCAAAAAATGGAGGGAGATCTTTGAGAGAAAAACTGGACAAAATAGGATTAAATTTGCCAGCCGGGAGACGTAAAGCTGCTAATGTTACCCTGCTGACATCACTAGTAGAGGGTAAGTGATGGCTTTTTGGCAGTGGGAAAGGCATTATTTGGAAATGTTTCTTTTTGTTTGCTGAGAAACAAACTTGTGGACCCTGAAATGTTTATGAATATTGTTTAATTTAAATCATTATTGGTCAATGTGACCTTTTCCTCTTGTATTTTTTTAAAGGGGACTCCCAGCCAAAATCCATTGATGTCAAAACATTGGATGTGGCTTTATTGATATTTATTTGGATTTAAACCCTTGTAATGCATTTCAGACTTGGATGCTAAATCTCAGTGAAATGAATGTAACCAAATTGGCATGCTATGTGATGCTTCACTTTAACTGGGTTGCTAGTTGATTGATCACTTGGATTAAAAAGTAGGACTGAAAACATTAACAGAGTAAACATAACTAATGGGTTAATTTATTAATCACTGATTGACATGGTAGATTTTAATTGGATTTTAATCAGTGAAATCCCAAGTGAAAGGGGTGAAATAGCGACACATATCATTATTGTATATATCTTGATTTATATAACAAGGATTAGGGTTATGATGATTTTCCATATAATGCATGACTTGACTGAACTACTTTCTTAAAAGAAACTGCTGCTCTTCAACAGCATCTCAACATTTAATAGATTAATTATCATGCTAAAACATATAATTGGGCTATAATTTATAAACTAGTAGAATTAGAAAACAGCCATGCTGAAGATTATTTAGTCCATTTATCAACATAAGATAGCTGCTTCTTAAATGCCTGTTATTGTAAATACGTTTGAGAAATGAATGGATTTTAATATTTACAAATATATTAAATACAAATATTCATCTATATTATGTAGTTAACAGAAGATCCAATTGTAAGTCCTATAAAATTAATTCATACTGAAAATCAGGTTAAGTATGAACAATATTAGTCACTTCAAATTCTACAGCCATGCCTTTGAAGTCCATACATTTATTGCATTATTTCTGCTGAAATGAATATAGCTTAAATAACTCAAAATGACTCTTTAGTTATAGACAGTATAACACCAATCCAGAGAAACATTTAAGAATATAAGGATGAATTCTGAGAACAAGTCCCTGTTCACTATTATATGAGTAAAGGCTTTAAAAACACCTTCTTTGGGTGAAAATGTTAATTGTTTCATTAATTGAAT